ATTGTGTGTCTGCTTCTCAGACATTACGGTGATGGCACAGATGACGTTCGCCAGATTGCTAAGTGTTACAATAATACTTTAACAGGAATAGCTTTTATTATACGCTTGATATCCACACATGGACACAAACACACACACGCGCGCGCGCAGAGTGCGTCGTGCGCGCCACTATAAATATAACGATAGCTAGATAGATATAGATATATGTATACATACTGTTGTGTGTGCACTACGCACAGTTGCTGCAACATAGCCCTATGATTCGAATGCCTTCGATGACACGCTTCCGCAAAACTTATCAAACAAAAATCCAAAGGAAAAAGAGATATCCTTAAGCATTTCGTCAATGATGACCTTGCTGCAACTCCTACGACAGTTCTGGTGCCAAGCTGCTTGGCCTCTTGGACTTCCCTTGAATTACGTCAGTTTTGGAGAGGAGGGCCCTTACACGACAGTTTTCGCATCACCCTTGCCGAAGCCTGGACGCCGAAGAGGACAAGAGCAGTTGCAAGAAAGAAAGAAAGAAAGAGAAAAATCGCCCATGAGGCCCAACCGCGTCACCTTGCAACCCATCGTACTGGCAACACCTCCCTCATGGGCCCTTACACAAGAGTCTTCGGGTCACCCTTGCCCAAGCCTGGATCCTGAAGAGGACACAAGAGTAGTTGCAATTACCGGTTATAACCCTCAGTCCCGATTCGTATAGAGCGAGGCACCAGGGAGTCACTTCTGAATGTGGGGGAGATTATCCCAGCGCCAACACGTGAATCAAGACTCCTCAAGATGCAGACCCATGGCTACCTGTGACCGATGGATGTCACAAGAAATGTATGTATAGGTGTTTGTATATTATTCGGGTCTTTTTTAGATCCAGATAGAGGTAGGTTCAAGTATCAGGGCGATGACACTGATAAAGTTATGTGACATCACTCGTCAGATGGCCAAAGTGAGACCGTTTCCTACTTGGGAATGGCCTTCTATCTTGCACATACGAGTATACTATATATATGATATATAATATATATATATATATATATATATATAATATATATATATATATATATATATATATATATATGTATGTATGTGTGTGTGTGTGTGTGTGTGTGTGTGTGTGTGTGTGTGTGTGTGTGTGTGTGTATATATATATATATATATATATATATATATATATATATATATATATATATATATTAGTAACCATTCAAAGATGGTAGGTTTCTCTTCCAGCGTACCGAATTAAACCCACGTTCTTTTATATAAGTTTTGAAATAACGCAGCTAGTGAATGTTTTGTGTTCAGTCAGTTACTTTCTAAGGGGAAAATGAAAAGGAGACCAAAACATACTTCAAACTGGGCACTTATTGTAAAGGAACAGTGGAAATAAAGAAAAAATAAAAGTGATTGTGTCATTGTGTTTTATTCTACTGAGTAATCATGAATTGAAAGAGCATGCAAATCTTCAACAACAGAACATCATTTTACTATCTACACATAACATAGTATAACTAAGGGGCGCCGTATCTGTTGGAGGGTTCCTTGGGCCTGCGGGCGTCCTCCTCGGCGGCGAAGGCGATCTGCTCGAGGACGAAGTCGGGGATCGGGTGGGGGAATTCGGGAGCCACGGGCAGGTGGTCACCCTGGGGCTGGAAGCCGTTCTCGTCAGCCACGAACTCCACGTGCACGGGAGTGCCGTCAGGAGCAGTGTATCTGATTAATAAGAGAAATTAGATGACGAAATCAATACTATGGTTGATAATATTCATGACTAATATCAAACAAATTTTCCCGAAACGGTGGTATTCCTTCGATCTATATACTTCTGTTTCTCTCCCGATACTCACGAGTAAGAGCCAGCGCTGTTGATGCCTCCATCGGCGCTGGGAGCACCAGACTCTGACACCACAATGCCGTCTCCTGTCTCCACGTCGAAGTTGTACTTTCCGTCGTCATCGATCACGCGGTCGTCCCTCAGGATGGGCACTTCGTCGGAGTCAGAGCGAGAACGTGCAGGGGCTTCATATCCCTGAGGGGAGGCAGCAGCCACGCAGGCAAAC